AAAATGTCATCAATCAAATTACTTCAAGGAAAATTGCGAGATTCTCAACTGCCCCAAAATTCGGTCCTAACAAGTGCCCTGTTTACCTAAAACTACATTGGATTGGTAATATTTCAACAAAATTTGAAAAACAATTGAGAACGACTAAATGTTTTCCTGCAATGAACCCCTACTGTGCTTATTCCATACGTAAGCTGTTGCCTGCTACACACAAAGATGTGATACCTAACACACAGAAAAGTATGGTTATTTATGAATTTTCATACCACTGCAAATGTCGGTATGTAGATCGCACTTCACAAAGAATGCAGGATAGAATTAAACAACATGTACCCACATCCATAAGAAATAAGAGTGTGAAAGAAAAGAATTTACCATGTTGCTCCTGTAAAACAAAAGTTCTACCACCAAAATGTGAATCAGCAATTGGCCAGCATTTACTAGTGAACCCGACTTGAGCTGATAACTACACTGATTGCAGGTTTAAAATTATTACAAATGATCTGTCAACCTTTCATCTCTATTTTTTGGAAGCCACCTTTATTAAAACACATAAGCCTGTCCTTTGCCTCCAAAAAGAATTCCTATACAATCTACACATCCTTCAGTAGGTCTGTGACATTTCCTGACTGGCTTAAGGACATGCCAATCAGTGATTGCCTTACCGGCCTACATTGATCTGAGTCATTTTATAAGCTGTACTATTTCCTATAGATCATTTTCGAGATGGGTCTGCTATGATTAGTGTCTGGCAAAAAGCTTCTGCAGATATTTCCTTTGCAACATCTCAACCAACAATTGGTCCAGTTATCAACGCTATTTTCAAGTTTTGAACAACTCGACTTTCAAGATCTACATATCTACATGTGCCGATGTTTCCGTTTATCAACGTTATATTTTAAGATCTGTGCATGAACTCGGCTAACAGATGTTTCCGCATATAAAAGCTATCTTCAAGTTTTGTTCACCAAAAAACTTTAAGTTATATTAAAGGTATGTTTTCAGAATACTGTGCACCATTTTTAGAACGATGTTTGTTTCAACTGCTTTTTATATAAAAAAAAAGATCATGGTGTAAACTCATTTGTGCATACTTGCATATTTCAAAAATGAACTACTTTGCAATAATGATTTGATTAATGACTAGTTTTATACTTAAAACTTTGATAATGCTTCCTGCCAGTTCTGTCCAAAGAATATATGAGAAAATTCTGGACAAATCTAGCTAGTCATTAAAAATATAAGACACTTATTACAATGAATACAATTACAATGCCAAAATGTGATCTTCCCTTCCTGTCAATCTAGTAGATAAAATGTTTTTTTTTGTAAATGTTTATGGTTAGGAATATAATATGTAATCAAGTTAATCAAACAAATGTTCATACTAATATTACATGATACTATTTGACATTTTACAAAGAAACTTCTGGATATATTGATATTACAGAACAATTAATTTTCACAAAAAACTCAAAAACATCTTTTTAACCAACTCAAGATTAATATCATTATCAGAAAAAAAATCAAATTATATTGAACTTTTATGAAAAATATATTGGATCAATGTTTGTATGAAGTTAAGCACAAATCTACACAATGGGCTATCTGTGCTCTGCCCACCACAGGCATCGAAACCCCGTTTATAGCATTGTAAAAATGCAGACATATTGCTGTGCTATGGGGGAGCTATTAGACCAAAAACACTTTAAGTAATTATCATGCCATGTATTACACACCTTACAACTGAAACCACTGATGCTTAAGTTCTAAAATAAAACAAATTTTAAAAAAAGTTTATAATTCTATTATTCTAGTTTATACCATACACAACATTTACTTAGCTATTATTTCTTATGAAATCTACTAAAGATACATAGCTTTGCATATAAACAATTCAAAATATTAATAAACCAATGTGTTATAGAAACATAATTCCACGTTCCATTGACTTTTTTTTTAATTTAAAATATCAAAGTAACAAAACAAAAAACTGATCACAAGTAGCTTAAGAAACAGTGCTACCAAATGTAACACAAAAACAATACTTAATTCTAAACTGAACATACAAGTTAAAATATTGTTAGTTTGAAAATACATTGTTTATACAGCAGTTTGGTTTATCTTACCCTCTCTACTTATTACAAGTTCAACTGAAAGTTAAAGTTTCAGTTTATAGGATTCCAAAGTGAAGCCAGACAAACATAAAGGAATAAGCAGTTATCTGAATATCCTACTTTGAGAAGCTTTAGAATAATTTACATTTTAAATGACACCAAAATTAAAACTTTTCTCATTGATGTATGTTTACAAGTATATTCACACCATTAATGTACAACTTAGTTTAACCAAATTTTATTAAAAGCAATAATTCATCATTATTTAGGTTATGAAAAATTAGTCTTAATATAATATAATCTCTGGCCTAAGCTAAACTATTATTTTCGCATGAAAATAAAATCTAACAAGACTCCAATTATCCCGAAATTTTCAAAATATGTTAATTCAATAACTGTTTCAGATTTTCATCTTCTTCGTTAACCAGCATAATATTTTTTTTAAAACAAAATATAATTACAGTATGAGCTGGAGATACAAATAATAAAAAAGTAACATCCAATAAAGATAATTATCTAATGCCTGGAGAAGAAACTTTTTTATAACCCTTTTTTGAACAATATTTTATTTCTAATATTATTTGAAAAAATTAGACCTTTAAAATAATTATATATCTTAAAGCAAAGTTCTTGTACTAACTTAGATTCTTTGGATTTTTTTTAGTAAAACAGTGTAGTTTAAAGTGTAAAAAAAGGCTTAAGTTGAAATAACTACGAACATGTAAAAATATTGTATAAGAAATTTGATGCCGAGGAACCCACTTTGAGACTAATAATGGCTGGAGACGGCTTGAATGGG